ACAGTAGTGCTGGGTAAAGTCAAAGTCAATAGGAAAAGAGGAATGTCACATTATAAGTGGATAGACTCAGTCAAATAGACAATGGGCTTTTATCTCTCAAAGACATCTCACTCATTGGGTTGCCACAAGTTAAAACCAACTTGATGGCACATAACTACTACTACATATTTTGTATTTTCTTCCCAAAGGCGGATAAGATCATACTGTCTTATTTCTTGACATGAACCTTTTTTACATGGGATTGCAGCTTTAGAGGTTGTTTCCCGATTCAGATGTCAAGTTACAAGATCACTAAACAATGGATGGTGATTACTGCAGTCCCCAGGGTTGCTGTGCTCTCCCATCTGTATCGCAAGTACAGACTCCACTCCCTTCATTTGCTAGTTTGTTCTAGCCATAGTTTGATATGATATCCAAATTACAAATCATGATTAGTACTAACCATTATTGCCTCCTCAATATGGTGTGCAGATGCAATTTGAACCATGGTTTCAAATAAATGTTAGAGGCAAATCTTACTAAGCCTTGCCTGATTTAGACAAACACAGTACACTGTGCAGCAAATGAGGAGAAGGAAGGAGGACAAGAGAAGAAAGTGAGAGAGACTAGAGGGAGCCCACAGTACTCTCAATTACTGAGGGATGGTTTATTGACCAGCTGCTATTACGTCTGACAGGAAGATATCCTGGGAAGGCCTAGAATTAGAAATTACAATGCTACAATGGCACCCTTAGTGTAATACTGGAAATGTCTATTTAGAAAAAACCTCACTGTTTTCAGTGGGGCCTGTGTTAATTCTTTTTCAGAGTGCCACAAGACTCTTTGCTGTTTCTGGTGTGCCTAATCTACCACACTAAAAATACCTATACACAAAATTTACTGTGAAAATATTGCAGAACTTTAACACTCTAGATACACTCAGTATCATACAGTTATGCAGGGAGGAATAGTCACTACTGAGTACAGGATGCACTGGTAAAACTTACAGACAGTGGAACAATCTTTCACATCTTTTGTACACTACTGGTGGATTGGGCCCACCAACTTATTTCTAGCGTAATGTCCAATTTGCTATGTGCTCTCAGGTGCTAATTGAAATATATATTTTATTTCCCTGTTTCAACACTTAAGTAAGTTTCATGTATTCAGAGAGTCTACTCCAGGGGTAGGCAACCTTTTTGAGCCAGGGGCCGGGTTGCTATACCTCAGACAATTGGGGGGGCCAAAGCACCAAAAATAAATATATAAATAAATAAAAATAAAAATATATTTTAAAAAAAATGAAAAATTAAAAAAAATATGCATGCACACTCTCTCAGCCCCAGAAAAGCCATGGCAAAACCCCAATGTAGATTTTGCCAAGAAAACCCCAAGAACAAGTAATAACAACAATAATCAATATCATCATGGCGGGGGGGGGGACAGTGGCAGGCCTGGCCTGGGGCCGGTCCAAAGGCCTCAGGGGGCCGCAACCGGCCCCCTGGCCTTAGGTTGCCTACCCCTGGTCTACTCTCATTGGGGCTAACCATTTGATTTAGACCATTATTACATCCTACTCTGTAAGGATTAAAAAGTTTGGTTAGTTCATCAATCAGTTCTTAAATTTCTGTAGAAGAAATAGCTACTTGATTTCCATTCAAAAACATCTATTTTGATATTTTTAAAAAAATAGTTAGATGTCAGTATCCTACCCTGAGGATACAACAAAGCAATAATAACAAGCATATCCAGAGGAGTTTAGAATTTCAAAGTGGAGTTTGCATGATAAGAGCTTGTTTAAATGATGTCATGCTTGCGAAATAGGTAGACTACTGAGCTGGTTTGCAGCATGTCTGAACTGGATCTGGGTATGTCCCTCCCCTTCTTATTTATGTGTGTATTTGTGTGTGGGATGAAATTAAAGGAATAATATTTATTGTTAGCAATTCAGTTTTTGCTAGATCCTGAGAGTGCCTGTAAAATTGCACTGCATGCTACCAGTTTTTCTAGATAAGAAGTTTGTGTAAAGAAAGGAGAGTCATTGCTGTGGCTACAAGCTTGTTTAGAACTACAACTATAAAGCCAGCAAGACCAGCTGTCTTAATAGCAAAGCCCTCCTAATTGCTCTGATTCTTATTTCATAGTATCCTCTATGCAAAGGGATCTTGTATTATTGTTATGACTAAGGTCTACTTCCTCAGATGCATGGAGTGAACTGGTATCATAATATCCCTAACAGACTATGGGCTGATGCTGAAGGGACTATTATTTAATCCAAAAAGGCAGTGATTGTGGGTTGGATACTTCTCATCTAGGAACAAAAAGACCTACCATGTCTTTGTGTACTGTAGATTTCCCAAATACATTCAATGAAGAAAACTATTTTGAAAATGGAACATACATTAGCATTTTGCAATTTGTTTCATTCCATTCCAACAACCTTCAGTAAGAATTTTGAATGGCCTCAACTTTTATTTTCTGACCTTGATTTTGGAATTGAGGCTGCCTTCATCACCCAAGTTGATGAGCTTCACTGGAAAAAGGGGGGATGACTGTTGATTTTTTAAAATCCCTTAATGGCAATAGCATGGAATCCTTGTAAGACTGGGGGCAGGAGACAGCACGTCTTCCTGGTTTCAAAAAGATAATGCTAGGGGGCTGTTGTTCCTCCTCAAAAAAGACATTATCCAACAGAGTTCTGCATATTTTGTGTTGTCCTCCATAACAAGCAAGAACTGATAGGAAAATCAGATGGAATAGGGTTTGGTGTCAACAGCATACTAGCTCTTTATTTTTCATCATTGATGTGGACCTTGAAAACCTAATCTATGATGGACTTGAAGAGCATGAATAATCCCAACCTTAATCTAATAATAATAATAATAATAATAATAAAATTTATTTATACCCCGCCCCTCTGCAGAGCAATCGAGGTGGCTTACAGCATTAAAATTCCATACAAATAAATTACAGTACAATATAAACAAGCCAAAATCCTGAAACCCACCCACCCGTTAAAAAAGTATTAAACAAAATATACATTAAAACATATTTAAAATAATCTCGCCGAAGCGACAATACTAACTCCCATGAGGTTGATGATAATAAGAGATTCAGCAAATAAGTAGTCAACACTACTTGCATCTAACAGGCTCAAATATACTGGAGGTACTTTTTGCCCCAGCTTTGCTTCTAGATTCCTACATCAATTGTTGGTGGGACACAGAGTGCCTTTTGTATCAATTTTGATTTATATGCTGGTTACACCCATTGTGGGAAGACTACTGTCATTCATGCATTACAATTCTATTCATTTTCTTTATTTATTTGATTTTATTTCTATCCCATTTTTCTCCCAATATGCAAACCCAAATAGAGATGTTTGCAAATCACCTCAAGTTTGGGTGGGGAGAAAGGCAACATATAAAAGAACAATAAGAACATCACAAGAGGAATAACAGATTAAACTGTTATAATGCACTGTACACATGACTGCCTCTGAGAATCATTCAGAATCTTCTGTTCCTACAAATATGGCAGTGCTCCTATTAGGACGTGGACAATATTTGTATGTATCACCTGTTTTGAAACATCTGTCCTCAATGCCAGGTCATCTCCTGAAGTGCTTATCTTTACAACCTTCAAGTTCTAGTTTATGTCTTCAAAATGTCTCCATTATTTTCAGATCTTAAGGGCCTGCATCAGATTTTTATTTTATTTTATTTTATTTGGTAAGGTTTAGACAAGGTTTTCCACATAGGAAACAGCATTCCTAGTAACAGTGTCTTGGTACTTTCTTCTAAAAGGGCTCCACCTACATGCAGCCTTCTCTCTGCTGTCTGGCTCTCTGAACATACATATCACTATTTTTCAGAAACAAAACTTAGAAATAACACATTACAAGTAATGATTCAACCTGCAACAATTAAGGGATAGAAAGAGCATACTGATCTTCCAGGTGTCATAATACTAAGCATTCTCCTTTTGTGTAAGTTCTAATGCATACACATTTCTTTCTCTCATTACTTTTTTGAGAGTGATACTTTTGGGGGATATTTTGAGGGGATTTTAAAAAATCAAGCCATTTTATCAGATGTTTTTTTTTTTTTTAAAGGAAAGGAAAAAATCACCAAATAATAGAGTGAGTAAAAATGTGTTGCAAACTTTCAATAATGATACTTTGACTGATGAGATATTGGGGGGAGGGGGGGAGTCAGTTTTGCAATGTGTTATGGAATTAATTCTGTTCCATCCTGTGGTTTGGGACTACATGCTTGTGAGCTTTTTTCCCTTTGTTTAACTTGTGAAAGTTTGGGCAAATGGAAGCATATAAAATATTATCTATTTCCATCTACTTAGATACAGCCTACCTATCTCAAATATAACATTTCACACAGGGGCTCCAAGATGTCATTCAGATTTCCAAATTTAACACTTCTGTGTTTTCCTGCTATTTCTGCCATTTTTTAAAAAACTACTATAAAATCATTAGGAAGGGACAGGCAGAAGATACAGTTTTTGGATTGGCAGCATAATAATAATAATAATAATAATAATAATAATAATAATAATAATAATAATAATAATAATAATAATAATAATAATTATATTTATATACCGCCCAATGGTTACCCAATCCAGGCGGTTTACAGCATAAAAACAGTTACAATAAACAACATATCCCTCCCCCCCTTAAAACAGTATTAAACAATGACATAGTTAAAAATCATGAAAGCAATATACAACAATTAAAATAATAAAACCATAGCACATGATCCCATTGTTACACTATGGGGAAACCATTAGTTTTTGGATTGGCAGTTTTTGGATTGGCAGACATTAGAAGATACAGTTTTTGGATTGGCAGCATACAGTTTTTGGATTGGCAGGCCATTCATAATCTGGGTAATATTTAGAATAGTCTCATCTATAGAGCATACATTGCCCTTTGGAATGCCCATTATAAAGCAAATATCCTGGTCCTTTGAGATGCTTAATATTCAGTTGCTATAATGAGGAGAGCCAGTGTGGTGTAGTGGTTTGGATGTTGGACTAGGACCCTGGAGAGTGGGGTTCAAATCCCCACTTAGCGACTGTGTAGCCTCAGAGGAAGGCAATGGCAAAACTCCCTCTGAACAAATCTTTGCCAGGAAAAACCTTGATAGATTTGCCTTAGGGTTGCCATAAGGCAAAAGCAACTTGAAGGTACACAACAACAACAACAACAACAACAAACATAGCTGTCTTGAATCCCATCTTGGGAGAAAGGTGAGATATAAATTCAATAGACAAAAAATTGTTAAAATACAATTGATGTCCTAGAGATCAAAGCTATTCAAATATCAGCCACTATATCCTGGGGCATCTTGAATGTAGAATGACTTTGAAAGTATGTAGCAGTTTAAAAAAACAAAAACCACCTCCATAGCATAAAATATTGCCAGCAGAATCAAACAGCTGAAATGAAAAGAGGTGGTTTAGATGTCTGAACTTGGTCTTTGAAGAATTAATGTGCATATTCCCTGAAATTATCGGTTTATTAAAGCTTTTTTTTTTTTTTTTGCCTTCTTGGGGTAAATGCCTATAAAAATCTAATAAAGGGTTAATGAAATGAATGCACTATCATAAGTAGGGTGGTTGTGAAGCAAAATCTTCTAGTAACAAAACTTGATGACATACTGAAACCAATGTGTATTAGAAAACAAAGTACAAAAGAAAAGTAAGTGAGACCTTTAAGGTATAATGTATGTTTCCTTTAGATGAATTAACTCAAGTTATCAAAGCAAGAGCAACAGTGAACTATGGACCTCAGATAAGAGCTGCTGAAAATGAAAAAGAAGACAAGACATCTTTTCAAACATGTATTCCCCCCCTCCAAATTCTGCATATTCTTATGCCTCATATTGTTCTGTTTTCTGGAATCTCAACTTGAAAGCTTATTAAAACCCAAAATCATATATCTACTTGATGTATGGCCATGACTGAGCAGATAGCATTAATATAAACAGAATGATGTAAGAAGATAAGAAAGAAGTTGTGCATTAATAAGGCAGCATGAGTTCATCTGTCTTTGGGCAAAAAGCAGTGTTGGAATCCCAACAGGGCATACAAAGGTGTCCACCAGGACCATATGAGATGTCTGGCAGGTGATTTTTTTCCCCCTCTACTTGAAGGAGGAGAAACATACCCTGCCTTGCCAAACAAGGGCTAGATGAGGAGAAGATGCCCATTCCCACAAAGTACCATGAGAGCACCTGGGGGGAAATGATGGATAGAATGGAAAATTTATTTCATCTTCCAGCCAATTTGCAACACAACCCTGGTTGTTGTTGTTGTTGCTGTTGTTGTTGCTCTTGCTGTTGCTGTTATATTTATTTGTACCCCACTCTTTTCCCAGAACTGGGACTCAGAGCAGCTTCACAATACTGAAAGAACAATACAATTAAAAACATAGAAAAGAAGTGCATTAAAAATGAATTAAATTATTCCAATGTTAAAATAGATAGCTATTTTTAAAATACATTTTAAAAATATAAAACTGTATAAAACACTTTAAAATGAAACAACATCCCAAGCTAGTCCTTACAAACATTCTGTTTTAAAAGCCTGTCTGAACAGGTAGGTCTTAGCCTGTCGGCAGAAGGCCAACAAAGAGGGAGCCATTCTTGCCTCCCTGAGAAGGGAGTTAGAGTTTAGGAGCAGCTACTGAGAAGGCCCTAGTTAGTACTTGGATGGGAGACCACTAATGAATACCAGTTGCTGCAAGCTATATTCCAGAGGAAGGAACTGGCAAAAGCACTTCTGAGGATTCCTTGCCTAAGAAAACTCTATGAAATTAATGGGGTCGCCATAATTCGACAGGCGACTTGAAGGCACTTACACACACACGCACACAAACACACACATGCACACACAGAGAGATGTTTCTCTACCGGTTCAAATGAGTGGATGAGTTCCTTCAGTTCACTGATAAAGGGTTGAGCCCCTCCTGGGCTACTTACCCTAACCTCCCCCCCCCAAAAAAAAAAGAAAAAGAAAGAGAAGAGGTGTTGAATGAGAGAAAAGATAGAGAAAGAAAAGAAAAGAAAAGAAAAGAGCAAAAAGAAAGAAGACACATACACACACCATACATATGGAACATGTACTCTAGGTGTGAGGACCACTTTTCTTTAGAGTTAGGGGAGAAGCAGACTGGCGGCACGGGGCTGCTCTGGGAAGGTGCGCCGCAGGATCGAGGCATCCCC